TGTATATTGACAAAATAAAAATTTAATGAAAAAATAAATAAATAAATAAATAAATAAATAAAAAATAAAAAGACAAAAAAAAAAAAAGAGATGTATTGATCGGGACTGGAAACAGATCTGATGGTGAATTGGAGAAATTCTGTTTCTCACCCTCCTACAACAGAACCCACAGGCAGCCCTGCAGTGTGTGTCGGGGCTGGTCACATGGTGGGGCATGAGGTTCTCTCGCACCCTTCTGCCCAGTGGGCTGGCACTGGCCCAGTCTCCTCCATGTGGGCAGGTGCATGCGGGGATGGCAGAGGGGGCTCCTGAGTCCTCCCAGCCCTGGCTCACACCCCTGTCCCCCCAAGCTACTCGCCAGCCACGCCTGCCCCCACTGCCCAGGATTTCAGGGCAGTGGATGGATATTTCAGCTAAGCTCAGAAAAATCTGTCCACAAGCTGAGAAAAGAGAAGGTTGAATGTGGCCTCAGCTTGGGCCAGAAAGCCCTGGTGGCAGGAGGCAGCCAAAGTGCACTGTAATGATAATGAAAGCCCACCTGATGTCCTGCTTGAGCACAGGCTGGGGTCACAGGCTATTAAGGACTCCATTTACAGGAGAGGATCCCAGAGAGGGTGAGCACTTTGCCAAAGGTCCCACAGGGGTGATTCCACTGTGGCAAGCCTGGGTCTTGTGACGCTGTCCAGGTCGGCAGCTGCCCAGAGGCCAGTTGGACCCTGAGCTACGGAAGGAGACAGGGTCCCCATTCCCTCCCTTCAGAGCAGCCCAAGGATCGTGTTCAGTTCTGGGACCCACACCCTAAAAGAGCCGCAGGGTCACATCCTGAGATAAGGTCAGGAGCTGCTGTTTTTCTGGAAAGAAGATGCCCTTGGCATCCTGTGATCACAGAGACTGAAAGGACAGACTTCTTAGTGGCTCCAGCAGCAAGACTCAGGCCAGGGGCCAGTGTTCCAGGAAATGGGGCTTTTCCTCAGGGTTAGGAATTGTGTTCCATAGCCAGTGCTGCTCCACAGTGCAGTAGTCAGTGTTGTGAGGGTGTCACATAGGGGAGCCATGAGCGGGCAGGGGCTTGTGGCCATCTCTCTGTGATGCTGGGGGACTGCTGCTTTAGGAAGGGGACTGGTGCTAGGTGACCCTTAAAGAGAAGATCCCGAAGGGAGCAGCCTTTTCTCCACCAGGAGCAGTGTCAGGTGCACTAGGTGGCTGGTGGGGTGAATTGCACTTTTCCTGCTAACAACAGGCCATGTGGGGCTGTTTTCCAGGCATTAACGTGGGACCCGTGGTGGCTGGAGTGATCGGTGCACGCAGGCCCCAGTATGACATCTGGGGGAATACAGTCAACGTGGCTAGTCGGATGGACAGCACCGGGGTTCAGGGCAGAATACAGGTCAGTTCAGCCAGAAATCACCAGGGCATATGTGCCCATTCTGCAGGTAAGGAAACTGAGGCACAGGGGTCAAGAGGTGAGCCCCAGTCTGCAACCAGGAAGCCCTGGGGCAGAGCTAGCTATGTGTCCTGGTTTGTCTCCTGCTGGAGGCATTGCCCGGGTGGCAATTTGATTTTGCTGTTTGGTCTGTCATGTGGCTGTGGGGTTGGCCCCTAAAGGGCAGGTGCAGAGTTGGGGGACACTGTGAGTTCCGGGGTTCTGCCACCAAGCCCGTGGCCTGGCTGCTCCAGTTGCCTCCACCCGGCTGCCATCAGAGGTTAAAGTAGGGTTTGGGGTTGCCCACCTTATCTGAGGAACTTGTGGGCAGCCCAGGTGGGCTGAGAGCTGTGGCCGTGACACCTTGTAAGAGTCACTGGAAAGTTTCGAAGGCAGCTGCCTCTGCTTTCATCAGCATGGAGGAGTGTTTCAGCTCTTGGGATTTCCCTTAAAACAAACGTGAAACTTGACCGAGCCCTGATGTGCATTGGATAAAGCCCCAGGGATCACGTGGGGCATGTGAGGGCCTACTCAGCTCTGAGACTGCCCCACCTGGGAACTGTAGGCCTCGGGGCTTCAGAGAGAAGGCTCCGTCCCCTGGTGTGTGACGGCAGCTGGTGTCTGGGACCCATGGGAATGGGGTGGTGAACGCTCAGTGTTTGGTAGGCAGGTGGGGGTTCCCTCCTGCTGTGGGCAGGCCATGGGCCATGGGAAGGGTTGTCTGAGGTCTCCACTCTCAGCTGTCACTGTGCTGTGTCCCATTGGGCACTGTTTTTTAAAGTCTCACCTGTTTGTCCCACAGACCCTGGGATGGGCAGTTCCCCTAGTGTTTGAACAAGGCACTGAGATGCAGGGGCCAGCATGGCCTCATTCAGCTGAGAAGTCTCCAGGCTGGGCACACCTTCTGTCCATCAGTCAAATGTTTGTTAGGTACCAACTCGAGGTTGGGTGCCTTAGTTGGCTCTTTGGGTTCAACGGTTTAGGGGACACGTAGACCAGAATCTTCATGGAGCTTTGCTCTCTTGCTTAGAACATAGACAGGGACTTCCAGGAAGCATTCTTGTACTTCTGCATAATCTTTTTTAAAAAAACTTAATTTTCTTTTATTGTGGTGAAATATACATAAGATTTATCATCTTAACCATTTTTAAGCGTCCAGTTGAGTGGCATTAAGTACTGTCACGTGGTTGTACAGCCGTTACCACACCATGCACCTCCAGAACTTTGCATGGTATTTTTTTAACATGACCTTATGCCTGCCTTCTTCTGCAGCCTTCTTCCCAAACTGCTCACTCCCCCGGGGAGAACTTCCCGGGAGCTCAGTCCTGTCTCCAGCCTGGGCGCTGCTCAGTGCCGTTGTTGCATTTCTAAGTTTCTAAACTGGGTTCCGAGCCTGCCACTGCCCTGTCTCCCCTGCCCCACTTCGGGCTGCTCCCGTGGTCCCCCCTCCATGCCAGGCCTCCCCGGCTGCTGGGCTGCCTGGAGATGTCACCCTTGCCCACGCTGGGCCTGGTTCCTCCCTCCCCTGCCACCCTTATCCAGTAATTCCAGGACATGAGAAGGTGAGCTTGGGATGGATTGAGTTGTTTTAACTAAAGAGGCCAGAGTTTGGATGACCACCTGTGAGGGGGAGGGAGACAGGCAGGGAGAGAGGTGGTTCCAGGGTCCCTCCTCCACCCTAAAGCAGAGAGAGAACAACCACGTCCTCTTCTGTTCCCAGGACGGTAACTGGTAGAAAGTACTTTCTCATCCTCTATCTGTCCTCTGACTTTGTCAGGCGGGAGTTCTTTGAGCTAAAACACTAGCTGGGAACCTGAGAGACAGAGCAGTTAAGTGATGCCCCTGTTCCCTCTGGGGGATTTGCCCACCACCCTCTATGTGCTGGGGACCCCACCTCAGGGTCCCTGGAGGCAGCTGCACCTGGGGCCTGAGAACTGGCTGGTTTGCACCCCCACCTGCGGTAACTGAGGGCGCCTTGCCCAGTGGTGAGGCTGGAAGCTCTGGACTCTACTCTGCCACTGCCTTTCTAGCTGGCGTGGTACCTGCTGTCCCCTCACTCCATATGCCCCAACCCCAAAGACATCCATGGGCCAGTGGTCAGGGTGGGCAGGGACAGATGCAGGAGGGAACGATGCACTGTGGGGCTCCCACCCCCAGAGGACCCCGCCTGTTGGCCGTGACCTAGAGTAACGTGCTTCCTCTGCCAACAGGTGACTGAGGAGGTGCACCGGCTGCTGAGGAGGTGCTCCTACCACTTCGTGTGCCGAGGCAAAGTCAGCGTCAAGGGAAAGGGTGAGATGCTCACGTACTTCCTAGAAGGCAGGACCGACGGGAGCGGCTCTCAGGCCAGGTCCCTGCTCTTGGAGCGGAAGATGTGTCCTTATGGGAGAGGCAGACGCCCCCCAGTGTGCCCTGCGACAGGCCCTCCGCTCAGGGCCGGGCCCCCCCCGCAGCCCACCAGCCAGTACCTGCTGTCTGCAGCGGCTGGGAAGGAGGCTTAGTGGAGCCCGCGCTGGCCGCTGGGGGTGCACACAGGGCGATAATGCTCCTGGAGCGACACAGGCCATGGCTCCAGCCAGGACCAGCTGAACCAGCAGAGCAGGCAGCCAGCACCAGGCTGGAGAAGGAGCACTGTCCAGGCGCGACCGAGGGCCACGCAGACACAGCATGGCAGGGACTTGGGAAGGGGAGGACCCTGTCTGCAAAGACACCCAGGCTCTCGGAAGATGGGCCTGCTCTATCCCCCGTTCAGTGGCACAGAGAGCACTGTCTCTTCCAGCAGACCTGCCAGGTTTGACCAGGTGGGCGTCAGCGTCGGGACTTTGAGAACATCTTCCAGGGTTACAGGGGGAGCCATGGAGCTATGGCTGGCAGAGTGATCAGGGAGCCCGCCATGAGTGTGCCCCAAGATAGCTCCGTGTCAACCTAGCCGTGGCAGGTCCTGGCACGTGGTGGTCCAGCCCTGGGCAGTGGCTTGAAGAGCCAAAGTGGGAAGCTGAGCCTTGCTGGGTAGGGCCATGAGGACTGGGGTCTTTCACACCGTGGGCTTGGCACAGATTCACTTGGGTCTTGGCAGGACGGTTTGGGGAAAATTGAGAACCCACCTCACTGCATGGATAGTGGTGGCCGCTGGCTTTCCTCAAGAGTAGCTTTTAACTAAGAGCCAGAGGTGGGTCTTCTGAAGTCTCGGGGGTCCCTGCAGCATCATCTGTGTAATTGTGGCCAGCACCGGCCACTGTCCTGCCTGAGCTTCTGGCCCTGTAAAAGCTGGACATCCCGCTTCCTGCTCCATCACTGTGCCTGTTCAGAGGAGCATGGGGACGGGTGCACTTCTTGCCTTCCCGTGTGGCATCTTGGGTCCTGTATGTTTAACAATTGTGCCAGGCTCTATTTATGCTGACAATGAGTGACCCCCACACCCTGAGTAACTTTTCTTGATGGAAGGTGCTGTTTCTCCAGCAGAACCAGCCCCCCTGGATGGGGTCTTTCAGAGTTAACATAAGGTCGTGAGTCCAGGCATTCCTGCTCCAGGTGGCGCTGTGTGGCAGTCACGGTGAAGATGAAGACTGAGGATGTGGGGATGGGTCCAGGAGGGCTGGTGGGGAGGGACTGGCCAGAAATAGCTGGATGATGCCTGGCACATGGAAACCTCAGACCTTATCAGAGGGAGGACAGGAGGGAATATTCTAGGCAGGCTTGACACTGGGGAGACGATCAGAAACCCACAGCTGCGAAATGTGGCCAGAGAGGTTTCTGTGGATTGCAGGTGAGGCCTGAGCCCAGCCCCTGCCCACAGCCAGCAGGCTTGGGGGTCCCTCTCCTCACTACTTTCTAAGGGCTTGACCCCCTTCCTGGGGGTCCCAACTTTTCAGAGTAGGAACAGAGAAAAGCCCAGACCTCTTTCCTGGAGTGTAGACCTGTGTGTAGGGGGGACCAATCCAATCCGTGATAGGGTGGGGTGGGGGTGGTCTCCCATCATGGTGTATCAGATGTGGCCTCCTACCTGGAGATGGCTGGACTCCAGCTCAGTCGTGTGGCTGTGTGGGGCAGCAGAGACCTTGCCATAGCTGGCGGAGGCCAGGCTGGTGGGTGGCATTGCAGGGCAACAAGTATGGTGATGCTTGGGGCAGGACAGAGGTGGGCAGGGTGGATGCTGCAGGAGAGGGAACAGAGGCAGCTGAGTGCAGGATTCCTGTCTTTCTCTCCTGGGCATGTCTGTGGCTTCTGTGATGGTGCAGGAGGCAGGACAGGCTCATCTCAGACAGAAGCCACACGGAGCAAGGCGGTGGTGAATGCTGGCCCTGGGCACCACGGTTCTGGGCTCTCAGGCCAGCTGCTGACCTCAGACCCGCAGGCCATTCAGAAGGGAGAGTGCCTCCCTGGCCCAGCTTGTTCCTCACCATTCCTGGTCCCTTGCGGGGCTCTTGAGCCTCAGTGCCACTGCCCACCCTGGGCTGTCCAGGTGGGGAATAACTCCCAGAGATGTCCATGCCCTAGTCCCAGGCCCCATGGATATGCCCTGTCACGCAGAAAAGGGGACTTTGCAGGTGGGATTAAGGTTAGGGACCCTAGAATGGGAGAGGATCCTGGGCTACGTGGATGGGCTCTCAGAAGTGTATGCAGGAGGTAGGAGAGCCAGGAATGATTCCAAGCATGATAGAGACTGAGCCATCATTGCTGGTTTAAAGGTGAGGAGACCATGAGCCAGCATCTGGGACCGCTCAAACATGAGGACAGCCCCAGCCCCAGCCAGTGAGGTAGCAGGGATGTTGCTCCCACAACCACAAGGAGCTGAATTTAGCCACAACCTGAGTGGGCAGGAAGCAGGTTCACCCAGAGCCTGCAGATCTGAGCCCAGAGTGGCCACAGCTTGATTTGGCTGGTGAGACAGCACAGCAGCCGCATCATGCCATGTCTGGGCCCGGGGTTTGCAGAGCCGTGAGGTCACACGTGTACACGTGTCAGGCCTCTGAAGGTGCGGTTACCTGTCACGGCAGTAGGAGGAAGCCATTGTGGAGGACCACACTGCCTCCTCTGCACACGGACTGTTCTGAAATGGCACCCACAAGCTTGGCGAGGCCTCTACTCCAGAGGCCAAAGTCTCCATCATCAGCAGCCCCAGATCCTTTCCACTTCCTGGGAGTTCAGGAACTGTTTAGCTACAACGTTCCTTGGGGTGAAAAACTTCCTTTTTATTTGTGATAAAACTGTATTATATTGCCTTATTTATTTTTAATCTTGTACAATATTCATGTACACATATTGGAGCCATTTGGGTAGGATTCTCTCAATTCTTTTAAGATGCTCTGTAAATAGCGCACTGATCACAGGCGCTGCCTGTTCACTGGTACCAAAAATGAAGGAAAGCCTGACCTCCACTTCAGCCCCTGGACCCCCACCTCAGCCCCTGCTCAGCGAGGCTGCGGCCCTTTGGAAATGCCATGCGTGTCCCTGATGTGACCCTCACACGCCTCCCGTGCCTGGCGCCGTAGAGTAGAATGCAGCCCCAATGCGCTTCTGCGGTGTCCGTGTCCTGCTGTGGACGCCCCCAGGCCCAGCAGCCCACGTTTCAGACTCTGCAGCTGCTGGGGCTTTCGGAACACCTGTCACAGAAGCAATAACTAACTTTACTGCAGAGATGGGTCTGGCCAAAGCACATGGCTAACACAGACAAGCCATGCGTTCAAGTTCACCCAACTCCACGTGTGATGGGGGCTGCCATCCTGAGGCCCCCACGCCTTCCTGAAGACCCTGCTCTGGCGGCTCCATCCCCATGGGTTGGGCCGTCAGGGCTGGTCAAGAGATCAGCACCCCAGGCACATGCAGACAGGGCTGGCGTCAAAGCTCGTCAGATCATTGTGACCACACCCTGCTCGGGTGGGCACCCTCCATCCCAGATCTGCTCAGATCCGTGGATCTCAGCACCATCTCAGGTGGACCCAGGGGTAAGCTGCTTGGCGTGTCATGGCAGAACGCTCAAAGGATGACATTTCTATGCTTACCTGTGATTTGCTGTCTTAGGGAAATGATGGCTGGTTGGAGGCTGCTCCTGCTCACTTCCATGGAGCTGGTGCCTCCTGGCAGGAGAAGAGCCCAGGGGGACAGGACTGTATAGGGTCAAGGCCCCATGCCCGGCGGGCCTGGGCGTGGGGAGGTTAGTTTGGGTGGCTTGAGGGACTGTGCTTGGAGGATGACAGAGACATCTTACTTGAGGATCCCAGATATCCATGATAACCACGGGCACATGAATCAGTCCACAGTCTTTGGTACTGGAGAGGAGATGCCGTGGCCATTGTCCCCAGTTGGCATTCCCCCAAGTTGTGGGGGAAATGGGTCACCTCAGCCTCCTGTGGCCTTGGTCCTCACTGCACCTGCTGAGTCCACCAGAGCTGGGTAGGCTGAGACCACAGCCTCCGCTGGGCCGAGGCCAAGAGACTGGAGCTGGGAGCCTCCCTGGTGTGGCAGGGGCAGGGCCTGCAGGGCAGGAGCATGGACAGAGCTGAGAGCAGGTGTCCAGGAGGGCTCAGTCCAGCTCAGTGGAAAGAAGGGTCTTCTGGCTACGATTTTCCACAGATGGATTCGGGGGCTCCAGGTGTGGTAGGCCCATGCCTATGGTGGCATGGTTTGGGGAGGAGGTTCCCACCTGCGCACTGCGGTGTCTGTGACTCTGTTAATTGATAGCAAGAAGCTGAGGATACCCCATGCCCAGGAGAGAGCAGGGCCCTGGAGCAGCCCAATGCAAGGCTCCTAGGGCTGGGAAGGTGGAGGGGACCTGGAGGTGGACTGATTTCTCACTTTTTAAAATAATCCCTCTACAATATCAGCACTAAAGTCAGCACCAGGGACACTGAGGCACTAAAATGGTCCTGTTTTGTATGTTTGGTTGTTTGTTTTGTTTGGGGGTTTTGCAGGACTCACAGAAGCCTGTGAGAGAGACTCAGGGTGGGTGTCACCGCAGGAATTCCAGAAACAGGACTTTCCAGCTGAGTATGTCAGAGTCGCTCCCTCCCAGCTGTGCAGTGGGAAGGGAGACAAAGGACAGGTGGTCTTCGTGGGTCGTAGTTCACAATCAGTGGGAAAAAACATCTTGGAAATCAGAAAACCAACCACAGTAGCTGCCATCTGGCCCACCATTGTCCTCTGTACCTGACAGGAGTTAGTCATTTTAGGTACAATCCCTTCATCTTTTGTGAAATCAATGAAGTTTCCTTCTACTCGTCACTAGATTCAATGCGTTCTGTGCTAACAACCCCAGGGAAAGGGCAGCCAGCGCTCTCTTGTCTAGTTAAAAATATGTCCAGTGAATCTTAAGGAAACACTTATTACTGGTATCCAATCCTGGCTTCTCTGGGCCCCTTCAGTGTGCATCACTCACTCTCCCGTCCATACAGTCCGTGGAGGGAGTAGTATTATAGTCCTTATGCTGTTAATGAAGAATATGAGGCCCAGAGAGGTTATGGACTTAAGCAAAGTCACACAGCCTTGAGAAGCAGGGCCAAGATTCAATCCCCTGTTCTGTCCAGTTCCAAGCCCTGTGTTTTCCATTACATTTAGTGCCTCTTTGCTAACAGTAAAATCTGCGAAAACTGTTTTGATTTTGATGGAGAACTCTAGCTTGTCTACACACAAGCACCCACCATGGTGGGGGGCACACCTGAGCTGGTGGGTTCCGAGCATGGCCGAGGCTGGTCCCCGCAGGCAGGGCTTGCTCTGGCCACCCATTCTTGGAGCATGTGCCCAAGTCTTCACTGGCACTGGCAGTCCTTGGCCTCACGTTGCTAAACTAGAGCAAAGAAATTCCTCCCAGCTAAGCCGTATTCCTCTTTTAACAACCGATCCCCAGCAAGAAAATAAAACACTAGGGTTGAAAAATGCCTACATGTCATATCATACTTTACATTCTAAAACCATGTTGGAGCACAACCTAAGAAGATACAGAATCTACCCTTAACCAAGGAGGAGCATTGCCACCCTTTTCTGTAAGGTCTCTCTGACATCAAATAGGCAGAAATGTGGCACCCCCAGACACCCCCAAACTACACACCGTTTTCCCACTTAGACTGAACCAGCCCAGGCTCCCCGTTCCTGACAGGAGTTTCATGAGCTCTGGTTTAGTTTGCTGTTCCTGCTCTTGTCGTCTTCTGCCGTATGCTCGATGTTACTGACGTATGCCACCGGTGGGTGTAGGTGGATCAGGGTGCCTTCTCAGAGATTAGAGGATGTTCAAAGAGCAGATTTCCCTGGGAGGGTTCAGAAGGCAAGAAAGGGATTACGACGGATGGTGAGAAATTTGTCAGCCACCAGGGAGATCAGGGATTGTGATGGATGAGAAATTTGGCAACCCCCAGGGAAACTTGGCAGTGTGCCCCGACTGCCTCCTGGACACTGGTTCCTGCTGGTGCCAGGCAGCTCAGACTTTCAGATGGGTTGGTTTCCAAAACAGCTTTCAGCCACGTATTGAGAATTAATGTTTTTAAATAGAGATGATATCCTAAACTAACTCCCAGGAGATCTGTCAAACCTCTTGGGCTTAACAAACTTGGTCAGGACTGTCGGCAAGAACAGCTGCTCGGGCGTCCTGCCTGTGGTCTGCTTCCCATGGCGTGTGCAGCGGGAAGTTGGCCCAACAGCAGCCAGAACTTGTTTCTCGCCTCCCACCAGCAACCCCCGCTCCACCCCAGGCCCCAGGCACACGAAGCACAAGTCTCAGGGGACCATTCCCATGTGTGGGGATCCTGAGGAAGCCCACAGCTGCCTCTTACATATACCGGGAGTGTCGCTACAACTGACCACCAGGAGCACACACACCCAGTGCCGGAGAGGCATATGGTTTTGCCTTCACCCCTGTTAAAACTGCACATATGCAAGCTATTTGCACTCTGGAATTGCATGCCATGAAATTCCTGATTGTGTGGAACTTAGTTTGAATTTGAAATACGCAGCATGCACTAAGGGACCAGCCCGGGTCCGCCCTGGAGTCGTTCTGTCCGCTGGCTACGGAGCATCCCGTAAGCTACTGTGAGTCCCATGGAGCCTGAGCTTTGTGTAGCTAGTGCACTTATTATGCACCATCTGTCTTCAGCCTACATTCCCCTTTGTCCACCATCCTTTCTCATTTATACTGATTGCACACCAACTTGCACAGATGAGAGTAATGTCACTATGATGACCATCTCTTAGCGGTAGACTCCATTCTGATTTAAGGTAAGCCCAAAGCTCACTTTTGGATTTTCTTTACTCTCTGAGAAAAGTTGTGTAAGCTCCTATGTCCTTCTGGGCTTGGCTAGGCAAGGTTGTGTCCCTCAATAGGATGGAGAGTGGCATGGGCAAGGTGTCGTTTTCTCCCACAATTTAACTCACCGAGGATGCTTCTGTAGAGGTGAGAGCACGATGACTCTGTTCAGAATTACAATAACTCAATATCACTGGGTAACTTATGATAGATTTGTATAATCAATACGGGTCTATTTTTATGTCAACTGAACACTGTAGAGTACCTTCCAGTCTTTTTCAAGATTGTTAAATTGAGACCAGTAATTGGATAATTTGTCCTATTTTTATTTGAAAAAAGTGAATGGACTGAAAAGTTAAATGTGAATGTACATTTCTTATTTGCAACTTTTCTACTGAGTGTTTGCACTATACTTTCTGGGATCTTATTTAACAAAAATAAAGGAAAAAATTGCTTGACTAAACTCTGTGACCATTTTAATTGAAAAATAAATGGTTATGTGGATGTTTTAAAGATAGTCCTGCCTGTTTCATGTACCTTTGGGGGGGGAAGTTTTATTATTCAAAGTACTAAGTACCATATGATCCCACACTTAGAAGAAACAACACCTAAACTGTCATCATCCCCACCCTAATTACACGCTATTCTCATCCAGTATTTTAGTTTTGTACTTTTTTGAATCCCACAATTAACACACATTCAGATATTTAAAATTTAATATGGACTGTTTTATTTTTTCCCACCCTTACTACATCTCAGAGTATCTTGTTGGGATAATACCACTTCTTCTGTCTTTTGGAAATTCCTTTAGCTCAGGACTCAATGATAAATTTATTTTCTGTTCATCTGTACATTATTTCCTCTCCCTTCTTAAAAGATAAAAACTATCTGAGAGCACAATTATTGGTTGACAACTAATTTTCTTTCAAAAGTTTAAAAATATCATCCCATCCAAGTTGAGTTGAATGGTGAGGGATGGTTTCCATTGTTGCCTTTGAGAAATCTTTATCCATTTTTCCTTTTGTGTGTTGTCTCAGGGCTCTAGAAAAAGAACAATAGGGTGTGTGTGTGGGGGGGGTGAGACAATTTATTTCATGTTCTGGAATAATTGTGGAGCTGGTAAGTTTGGAATCTGTAGGGCAGACTGTTAGGCTGGAGACTCAGGGAGGAGATGCTCTAGCTTGAGTCGGGCGGCCGTCTGGAGGCAGAATTCCCTCTTAGGGGACCTCAGTCTTGGTTCTTAAAGCCTTTGACTGGCTGGACGAGGCCCACCCATGCTGTGGAGGGCAATCTGCTTTACCCAAAGTCTACTGATAACAAATGTTAATCACATCTAAAAAATATCTTCACGGCAACATCTCTGCTGGTGTTTGACCAAACATCTGGGCACCATGGCCCAGCCCAGCTGACACATAAAATTACCCATCACATGTGTGACGTGTAGCTTTTTCTCTACCTCTAATCTAAAAGAAAAAGATAATTTCTATTAAAAGCATTTTTAAAAACATTATGAAAAGAATATTCCAATAGAAAAAGAATTAAAGGGCATATACAGAATTACCAGAGAAAGAAACACAGCCAGTCAGGAAACGTGGATGGAACTGTTGACAGATGTTCAGAACTGTTAATGACAGAAATGCAAATTTAAAACAACGTACCATGTTCAGCTTTCAATATGGCAAATATTTTTAAAAGACAATATGACAACTCCAGCAAAGCCACAGCGAGGTCATGAGAGCACACTGCACGCTGCTCATGGGAATTCACACCTTGTGGAAAACTTAACAGGGACCATCAAGTGTTAATATCCTTTATTACAGTATAACTACCTCTAGGATTCTAACTAACAGAACCGGTAGATGTGAGTACAAAGTTTTTTTTGTACAGAGGTTATTATCACTGTTATTTATAATGATGAAAAAGTGAGCACAAGCTGTGGTAGAATTCTAAAGGTGCCCCCCAAGAGCCCATGCCCCCTAGTCCCCAGAACCTGTGAACAGATGATGTTCAGTCCTGGCTGTGGGATGGGTGACATTATTGGGTACACGGCAGGTCACATGAGCCCTTAAGGCAGAGAATTTCCTCTGGCTGGTGGCAGATGTCAATCAGAGGGATTTGAAGCATGGAAAGGTTTTGTCCAGACATCGATGGCTTGAAGATGGAGGAAGCCACATGACAAGGAATGTGGGGGTGAGCGGGAGTGCTTTTAGGATCTGAGAGCACAGCACCCCCTGCTGACAGCCAGCAGGAGGATGGGCCTCCATCCTACAACCACAAGGAACCAGGTTCTGCCAACGTGAGTGAGCCTGGGGATGGATTCTTGCCCAGATCCTCCAAGAAACCACACTGACCTCACCTTGAGAAGGCCCAGAGACCCAGGTGAGCGCTAGATCGGTGCGATGATAAATGGACATTGTCATGAGCTGCCAAGCTTTTGGTCATTTATTATGCAGTCATAGAGAACTAATACGCAACAGAAACCAATACACTCCACTAAAAGAAACTAACATACAATAGAAAACTAACAAACTAGATATCCATCAGTGAGGAAATGTAAACGCGTGGGACAGGCATGTCACGTGATGAGACGCCAGCAAGGCCCACAAACCAGGTGTCTGAACCACACTCCAGGGGCAGGGCTGCTCAGGCATTGAGTGTAAATATATTTGAGGGGAAAAGGATGATTTAAATAAAGATTAGACAGAAAATAGAGTTTCTGGACACTTTAACTTAAATAGAAACCATGCTAGGAAAAAGAATGCATTTCTTTTCTCAGGTTTTACAAATACATTCTCCACAAGACACGTGGGTTTGCATACATGGCAAGAGTGAAGGAAATCCTTGTTGCCCCAATCAACTCTACACGTTACGTCTATGTTTATCTCTAACTGAGCACCGTTGGTGTCATTCCCAATTTATCATTTTCCCCAAATATTATTGTTAATTTAGAAATCTTGCCTTTCGTCCAAGCTGTTTCTCTACGTGCCTCAGTCTGAGCGCACCCCATCTCCTGTTCCGTTTCTCAGGGCTACCTCTCCTCCTGAGGATGCAGAAAGCATTAGAGAGAACAGACGGGACCCTGTTCCGCATTTGTGTTCAGGCACTTGGACGACAGGACTGGTTTCTTCTTTTTTTTTTTTTTAAAAAGATGACCGGTAAGGGGATCTTAACCCTTAACTTGGTGTTGTCAGCACCACGCTCAGCCAGTGAGCGAACCGGCCATCCCTATATGGGATCCGAACCCGGGGCCTTGGTGTTCTCAGCACCACACTCTCCCGAGTGAGCCACGGGCCGGCCCAAGGACTGGTTTCTTCTTTAGTCTGCTTCCCATAGGCTGATCACCTGGACAGAACATTGCCACCGCCTTCACTGTCTTATTTGTGAAATAACCAGGAGAACTGCATTTTGAACACTTCCACTAGATGCCAATGGATAACTGCACTTCTCTACGTAATAATCAAGTTTTGTTAATATGTAGAAGAAAAATGCAGCATAAATGTCTAGCAAATCATCTTACACAGAAAACTTTGTTCAGGGCTGGCTGGTTAGCTCAGAGAGTGGTGCTGATAACACCAAGGTCAAGGGTTTGAATCCCCGTACTGGCCAGCCACCAAAAAGAATCAATTCCCAATTGTTCAAAAACATGCTTCCCCGAAGTCCCTACATTACTTTTCTTCCTCTCTAGACTCATTCTGAATTTGAATTTCATTCTTTGAAAAACAAGATATAAAATTCAGCTGACCACATGTCTGAGTCACTCTGCATCAAACAGACTTTGGGAATACTTCTCATGAAAACATTTTAAATAAATATTAGAAGGAATTACCCTGAAGTACTTGTTTCTGTGTTATACAATTATAGGCAGTTTTTCCTGTGTCTTTATACTATTATATTCTTATTTGAAAAAATAATAAATGTTTATTTTTATAAATTTGATAAGCAATCTGATAATTGTTATAAAAAAGTGAACAGCTTGAATAGTCAGTTTACACAGGAGAAACTTGCTCATAAAACTTACAAATGTTTAAACATACTACACAGTAAATACTTATCACTTACACAGAACATCAGATCTTATTACTTATATAGAACATCAGATGAATTTTGAAGTTTCTATCCTAATTGCAGCATTTAGTCTCCCTTGTTGAGTAATCTCATTCCCTCTCTGTTGGGAGCCTCCAAAGAAACGTGGGTACTTCCAGGAAGAACTGGATTCTGGATCTGGAATACTGTCCACCCATCTTGCAGCTTGAGAGTGAAGCTTTTTTACCTGTCTCTTACAGCATCCTAGACCTCACGTGCCCGTAGAATCTATTATGTCCTATTTTTTAATCCAGTCTGAGGTTTCAGTTAGGGGCTGCCCTTTCTGATTCTGCTCTAGCAGTAACCTTTTATCCCCATCCCTGAGAAGAGCCAGCCCACCTGCTGGCACAGCTGAGAGGAGGGGAGGGGGACACTGGACATGTAAGCATCCGTTTGTTTTTAGAAAGAAAAAAGTAAACATTTTCAGATGAAGCAGGGAATGTAAACATTTGCAAGAATAAAATCTAGCTCTGTAGTTAGCTCCCCTCACCTGTTGGAACTTGTTTCCCTCTCCCAAATATGAAAAAGGAAAGCATGTCCCTCACTGTTGGGAACCCACCATCCAATGTGGGGCTGTCATTTCAGTCCCTGCTTTGGGCTCTAATCACGCTGTATGAAGATCCTCGGAGGGAAACAGTCCAATCCTTCCTGAAGGGACTGGGCCAGAAATCTCAGCTCCAGAGAACCAACCAGAAGCACCCCTCCCTTCATCACTGCCATGGGGAATTCAGGCCTGGGTACCCAGCGCTGACCGCTTCCAGAACCTCACCATCCCCCACGGTGGGCCGAACTGAGCTCCGAGTTCAAGCTCAGAACATCAGCTCTGCCCACACTTTGCGTGAGTTTCCCAAATCCATCCCCCAGTGCAAAGAGCATGTTCCCCAGGGCTGGGAAAGGCTTGAAGAAACCAGCGTGGTTGGTAGCAGTCCCTCACAAAGTGCATTCCTTTTCCTGGAGCACAAACCCTAGTGCTCAGTTTCTGCCCCTGGGCCCTCTCTGCTCAAATGCCCTGTGGTGCGAGGTGGGGGGTGGTGGTAGGAAACCAGGCCTGCCAGGGTTTTGTTTCTTTAATGCAACAACCTCTTTTCTGGTCCCGAGTCCCTTGAGGAGACTTGAATGAAATCCCAAGGATCCCATCCCTGCCCCTTTGGGTGGGGGGAGCTGGACCAAGACCACCCTCACACAGATGTTCGCTCCACACTCTTTACATCACCAGGGATGGGTTTTTGTCACTTTTCAGATAAAGAAACTGAGGCTCAGACAAGCAGAGAGAGGTCCCCAAGGTCAGGACCAGGCAGTAAAGGATGCAGGGCTCAGCGTTCTTGTCTCATTATTTGATGCTCATCTCCCTTACCCCACCCACTCTGCCCACCCTGGCCTCTGCTCGTGCCTCTGAGATGCACATTCGCAGTCTGAGTAACAAGACCTCC